AGTCCCTCCGGGACACAGAGGCCTGGTTCCAAGTGGGTTCCGCGACCAGCCTGCCCTGGAGCTGCTGGATTCTGGAGCAAGCAGGTCTGTTTTCTCTTCTTGCAGTGCTGGAGATCAAACCAGGGTCTCCCCCGTGGAAGGCACCAGCTCTACCACCGCCACAGCCTCAGCCCTAGAGCAGAGTTCTGATGCCAGGACTCACCTTTTCCCTGAGCCTTGGGCCGTAACTAGGAAGATTTTTTTTTTTTTTTGTCGTGAAACCACACCCCGTGGTGGGCCTGCATTACCAGCGCGTGCTCTGCCCCTCAGGAGACACAGGCGGCTGGGGCAGGCAGAAGGGAAACTCAAACCCGCTTACCCTTCCTGAGGACTCTCTCCCAAAATTTTGCACAGCACATAGCTCTGATTTTTCCTTTTGAAAGATCGCTTAAAATAATCGAGTCTCCCGGGGCCGAAAGCCTTTCTGGGCACTTCGTGACCTCCCTATACCGTAACACCCGACCCTTTCCTTATTTGGCCTTGGGATTATTCCCTGTTCTTAGCTCTTATAAATAGCACTTGGAAATCTTTGCACAAGTCACATTTTTTCCCTTTTGAATTAATATTTCCTTGGGGTATATTCCCTAAACTGGTATTACTGGGTCAAAGGTTTTAAAAATTCCTTAGCTCTGGTTTCCTGCTGCCAGAACACTCCCTGTGCAGACCCAGGCGAGCCGAGCAGGTCAAACGTTTCGCCAGGTTTCCCACAGGGCCGCAGAAAACTGATTTTCCTTCCTGCCTTCTGCGGCATTGTCTTGGGGGGGGGTTGGGGGTGTTGCAAGATTTAAAATCAAACAAAAATAAAGATGGGAGGCCGGGCGTGGGCGCGCACACCTGTAATCCCAGCACTCAGGAGGCTGAGGCAGGAGGATCTCTGTGAGTTCGAGACCAGCCTGGGCTACATAGTGAGTTCCAGGTCAGTCTCAACTATACAGTGAGACCCTGTCTCAAAAAAAACAAAAACGAACAAACAAAAATAAAGATGGGAAAGCACTCTTTCTGTAGCCAGGGGGCGCTCTTCGGGGCACAATGGATTATGAAAAAGTGGGACAGCTGCAAGCCTGCATTTACCAGCAGAGGGAGCCAGGTCCACAGTGCCTTGGAGAGCTGGTGGGTGGTGACTGCTAAGGGCCAGGACAGGGTGGTGGAGAGGGGCTAAGAAGAGTAAGAGGAGCTTGAGTTTGAGGTCAGCCAGGGAAACACAGCAGAGTCCATCTCAAAAAAAAAAAAAAAAAAAAAAAAAAAAAAGGCGTGGTGGTGCATTATTCCTCATCCCAGTATGGGGGAGGCTGAGGCAGGAGGACTGCTGAAAATTTGAGACCAAATTCTACATAATGAGTTCAAGGTCAGCCTGAAGTACTGTAGCCTGGGCTACATTTAAGAGACCCTATCTCAAAAAACAGAAAAAGAAATAAAAAAGAAACAAAAGTTGTAGATAAATTCTTAGCCTTAGGTTCCATCCCTATTGGTGCAAATAAGTAAATAAACAAAACCCCACTGAATGCTCCCCATCTTTGGGCTCCTTCTGAAGGAAATTAGGCACAGCCGAATTTGGATGGGGTTTGGCCCAGCCTTGCTGTGACTTGGTCCCCAAGGTCACGGCATCGACAGGTGGTCGGGACTGTAAGAGGCAGGGCTCAGGAAGGGGCTCTCAGGATGGTGCCGGTCCTGAGGAGTGGAGCCTGTCATCTGTGACCGGATCAGTTCCTTACTGGAAGGCCACCTGCACGCTGATGTCCCTGCTGCCCGTTACTGTGTGACACAGCTGGGGCCACACCAGATGCTGATGCTGTTCTGTTTAGACTTTCCAGAATCCTGAACCAAATAAAAAAATTTTTTGAGACAGGATCTCATAGTAGCCCAGGCTGGCTTTGAACTCTGATACTCTTGCCTCAGCCTTCCAAGGGATGGGATTACAGGTAGGAACATCACAGTGAGCTTTTAGATTGTCTTTTAAAGTTCGGAAGGTTTAAAATTACGTATGTTTCCTGAATACTCTCTACACTGAAAAAGCCTGGCACGGTGGCACACACCTCTAATCCCAGCACTTGGGAGGCTGAGGCAGGAGGATCTCTAAGAGTCTGAAGCTGTACTGGACTACAGAGTGAGCTGAAGGTCAGCCTGCACTACACTGTGAGACTCTGCCAATAAACACATAAACAGAAACAATGTATTATACAAACATGTCATATTAAATTGCAAAACGACATATATATTCTGTTAAAACATATATACACTTCAGGAAATGAAAAACTTGTATAAATATTTTAATGCTAATGTTTGAGACATTATGAGATTAATCCAAGCTACCTTTGGCCTCTACAATTATAAGAGGTGCTCATAGTAGTGACCATGAACTTGCAGACATTTATTAGTATGGCAAACTGCTGTTTGGGTGGCCTTAATCATTGAGATTGCTGCCTGTGCATTTTCAATTTCTTCTCTAATAGCCGGCAGTGTCATGGGTTTTCTGCAATATACAGCATCATCTAGCTTCCTCCAGACAAGTGTAACACCATCTGTTGAAAGCATGTCATACTATTTTTCTTTTCCTGACATGTGTACACACTTTTGGCTTTCTCTCCCACACATATATTTGATACCAACTATGATTTTAAAATGAATGAGACTGAAAATGTCAACATCAACTATCCCTAGGTGGGGGAATCATGCCTATTTTTTTCTGCCTCTCATGTATCTATTTTGTCTCAGTTATTCTGCACTAAGCACATGTAACTGTCTCCTCCCTAGCCCAGTACCTGGGCTCAGATCCCAGGTGAGGCAAGTGCTCTGCCACTGAGCTCTATCCTCAGCCCATTTTTTTTTTTTAATGATTCTGTCTCAATAAGATGCCTAGATTGGATTTGAACTTATTATCCTCCAGCCTCAGCCTCCCAGAGTACTGGGATTACACACATGGCCAGCACACCCATCTGGTTCACTGATTTTATAACACTAGTTCTCATAGGGGCAGGTTGTAATCACTGGGGAGGTTGGTTTCTGTCCCCAGTTGGTGTGTGACACCTGTGACAGCAATGGGGCATCTAGCCTGCTTCTGTCTCAAAAGGACTTCTTTGGCTTTTTGTAAAATAATGGGATTGAACACAGAGCCTTTGTATTGACAGTTACATCTCCAGCTTCTTCATTTTAAAAATATTTATTTCTTACTTTGAGACAGGGCCTCACTCAGTTGCTAAATTGTCCAGGCTGGGCTTAAATTAGTGATCCTCCTGCCTCAGCCTCCAAGAGGGCCAGCATTAGAGGTGTGCTCCACCAGTGCCGGCTCACAAAGGACAGCACATGTTTTGGTGCCAGCTGTGTCCTTTAAAACGATTTCCCATCTCACCCTGCGTTGCAGCCCTCAGCATGAAAACCCGTGAGCTCCACAGCTCCCCTAGGTGGCCCTGAGCACGTGCTTCATATGAGTCCACTGTAGGGTAATGGCTAGGAAAACAGAAGCACCTTCTACCCCCACACTGTGGCACCCTGCCACCTGCTGTGCCCTGCACCCAGGACACGCTGAGATCTGCCCAGCTCCTCATCCCTGCAGCACCACCACCCCACGCAAGTCAAGGCTGTCCCTGAGGCTTAAGGTGATGAGCAGATTCAAGTTGTCCTGGAATGGAGGGGACACAACGGGGTGCCATCTCTCGGACCTCCCTTCCCCTCCCGACCCCCAAGAGGCTGAGGCAGGAGAGTCTACTGCAGACCGGGGCCAGCCCTCTCACCCCGTGGACCACTCACCTTCTGCAGGAGCTTCACTGAGCTCTGGAGCTTGGTCTGTAAGACTTAAAAGTCTCACTTTCACTCCACGGAGCGCAAACAGCCCAAAAGGCCTTTGCAATGTTGGGCCCTAAAGCCCAATGAGGCTCTGTGAGCGCTATCGAGGAACAAGAAACCCAGGAAGGAACACACCAGGCTAGATGGTAAAAGAGCTTTATTAGCCTGGCCAGACGGCACTCTCAGAACCAAGTGGCTGGCTCAGAGAGGCGCCTAGCTCAGGGGCTGAGGTCCTCTTATAGGGAGTAAAAGAGGGGGTTAACATTTTTGGGCTCACAGACAGGGGACAAAGGTCTGCTGACTTGAGCTGGTGGTCAGCAGTCACATATTGATGAGTGACACGTACCACCCATAAGATGTATCAAAGGTCACCAAGACACTCCGGATGAGCAAACAGTTTGTCGATTAACTTGGGGCTCTATGTCTGGAGTCTCTAATTTACAGGTAGATTCAGAATCAAAGGTCACCAAGACACTCCGGATGAGCAAACAGTTTGTCTGATCAAACAGTTTGTCGATTAACTTGGGGCTCTATGTCTGGAGTCTCTAATTTACAGGTAGATTCAGATCCAGACTTCAAACAATACAAGAGTGATACACATTCTTAGGCCAGGGCTGGAACAAAGGTCGGGGCTGTGGTTACAATGGGAGGGGTTCAGGACACTGTCTCCTAGGCCCTTTG